AAAAAAGGAATAACTATGAAGAACAGATAGTTGGAGTGCTGTGAAATTCAGTAACTGGGCTTCCTCTGTTTAACAAATGCTGGCAATTGTAATTTGTCTTTTTAGCTGACATTTACTGCTCTGTCAGAAGCTATATTTGGATGTTTCCTCACAATTAAATGCAACAAGTGTAATATATGAATTCTCCTTTACTGGGGACACCCTTTTTGGTGTGATAACCTTTCAAATGAACCCCATTTCATCTTTATGTATTTTTTTTTTATGTTTGCAGAACATTAATCGGGTGGTTTTTGTTGGCAATTTCTTGCGGATCAATACAATCTCAATGAAGCTTCTAGCATATGCTTTGGATTATTGGTCTAAGGGACAGTTGAAAGCACTTTTCTTGGAACATGAGGTGAAGTTATTTTAAATCCATTTTACTCTGTCAAAACTTAAGACATTTTCATTTAAAATTATCTGATCATAATATACCAATGTTGAATTTCTTGATATTGGCAGTATATGTTTTGCAGCCAGTTCTGTGCATTTGTTAGCATAGCCACAATTATTGCAGAACTTCCAATTCTAGGATGCTAACAATATAACACTTTTTTTTGTTTCAGAAGTTAAAAATGTCCCTTTGTTAAGTTTGTAATGCTTTCCCTCTTCTACTTCTGAAATTTATTTACCTGCATCTCTAACATTGTAATTTTTTTTTAAAAAAAAAAGTGTTTCCCTGTATAAACAATACAACTAAGAGGAGTTGATAACTTTACATACAGATTTCTTTCATAACCAGTATTTTTAAACAGTATTAATATTTTAAGTATTCCTGCCCAGTGTTTGTCAAACACATTTAAACCTTGAATCTGTTTAATAGAAGCTCTTACTTTTTGCTTCATAGGGCTATTTTGGAGCTGTTGGTGCTTTCCTGGAGCTTTTGAGTTCGCCTTGAGTCGTTACAGATCCTGCACATTGGACCTAAGTTGCAGCAGCTTCTACCCTATTGGAGCTCCCGCATTTGTTAACAGATGCTTTTTTTTTTTTAAAAAAAAAAGCTTAAGTGACTATGACAGTAATTGTATATGACCTAATCATCGTGGAAAAGGAAAGGACACATGATTTTTTGTATACAGATAAAATTAATCCTGCATCTTAATGTAGGATTACCTCAACATGTGTAGCAGATTATATAAAAACAATGCTCAGAATATAGAGATGTATTTCCTATTATTAAGTAATGTGGAAAGGTGCTAGATGGAGATAATTTAATGTGGGACATTATTCTGTTCTCAAAAGACTTCTTATGTAAAATGCCTAGTGTCTACGTTAACTATTTTTTTTCATTTGCAATGTTTTATATGTATGGGATTGAAGGACTTTTAAGTCTTTGTGGTAATATTAAATAGTGCATTGTTTATAAATGAAAAGTATCAAAACAGAACCCAGAAATGTAAAAACTAACATTTTCCCCAAAGTCCTTATTTTTATCCTCTTCTGAACATTATAGTACGAGGTTTTCATAGGCCTCTATAATCACTAATAGTTTATTTTCTGGCAAGACAGCAGTCCCAGTGCATATACACACAGGCACTGTTAGAAAAGCAAGAGGTAAGGACTCAATTTTTTGGGGGCTTGCTTTCTGTAAAACTGTGTAGCAACTTCTTACCACCTGTACCTTGGTGATCCCTGGTAACCCAACCAAAAAATCTTCTGGATATGGGGGTCAGACCCTTATAATACAGTCCTAGTAAATGCAGCAGGTATCTCACTTGAAATCCACAAAAAGTAAATATAAGAATATTGATAACTAGTGTGTGGGGTGTTTTTTAATAATTGTATGTAACTGTACCAAAAATGATAATATTCTATTCCTGATGTACTCAGGCTATTCAGTAAATACTCCATAGATTTTAGTTGTTAGCATGTTACTGAATATAATCCAGATTCAGGAGGAAATTTAATCTTTCCACATCAACATTATACTCTGTTACCTTGAATTGTGCATTCCTGTAGAATCCAAGCACTTCATTGCCACAGTTTCAGATTCTCTAAGACATTGACCTTTCAGGGTATTAAACTAGCAGATGTTGTGTGAGAGAACATTCCTTCCATGCACAATAGATTAAGCAACATTGGCAATAAGCTACCATTAAAAGAGCTGTGTTTGAAACAAGCTTGTAGCTCATAAGCCAGCCTTTGGTCTGGAGTAATTCTAAGTTTCCAGGATTCCCTGCATCCTTGGAGCTCTAGTCTTGAGCTGCTTATTCTAAACAAAATGTCCACTGGGAACATGTAAATGTTCTCCCTCGTCCATCGATGACCGTGGCTAGTGATTTCAGCATAACTTCACTGCAGGGTGCTGGAAGTAGTTGCTTCCTGAAAAGCAACTGTATTTTACCCTGATGTTAACTACTGTTTGTGCTGCAGAGTGTTCTGAAACATAGTACTATGGCTTTTCTGCTGAATAGCTCAACTAGATGTAGAAACCTGATTCACAGTAGCAACGAGTGAATACAGGGATTCTCAGCTACTTTAAATTGTCATAGCTTCACTTGATTTTTGTTTACACTAAATGGGGAATCTGGGCCAGAGCCTTTAAATAACTTGTCCCTTTTAGGATTTTGTAGATTAATGCATTGGCCTCTTCATATGTGGGTTCATATTTGCGCTTGGTCTCAAATGAAAGCTCTTTGGTCTTATACAGGCCCCTGTGGATATTTTTTGACCACAGCATTAAAAAAGCCACACCAGTCAGATAACTTGACACGATAAGCACTTCTAAGATGAAATAATTCAGAATTAAAGAGCAGTAACAGAGCTGTGGGATTGGTGAGAGTTGTCTTGGAGCTTGAGCCTGCAATCTGCAGATACCTGCTTCAAGGTTCTGTGTGCCCCTTTGTCTCCTGCTGCGATCTATGAGAGTTGAGTGCTCACAGGAGATGCTTGTCACTTTGAAGGGTTGATCCCACAGTATGTCCTGAGAGCCTGGGATGAGAACTAAACGGGAATTGAAAATGCCTAGGTTTCCTCACAAAATCAGATAATTTGTTTTGTACTGCTAAATTGGAGCATTACATGCCACCAAGTTTCCTGTAAAGTAAAGTAGTTTTAGAACTTATATTCAGGAAACTCAGTCTCTAGCTGCAGACAAAAAATGATGATTGAACATTGGAAGAGAATCTGGAACCTCTAAAATTGTTCAACTATATTGGTACATAAAGCCTGTACCATTCAAGACATTTAGCTGCCAGTTCACCACTGTATACCAGAGTCGCCTTTTCTGAAAAGGCAGTCTTCCCAGATAAATGGAAAAGCAGGTATCTATAACAACTTAGAAAAATTGTATTAGCTTTTAATGTGTAATATTGCTAACTTAGATCATGCAGTGAACTGCGCTCAAAATTTGAATTAAGTTACTTGTGGAGGTACGTGCTTGATGAGACACTATTTCATGCCTAGGATCTTGGATCATATCCCACTAAAGATAATATAATACATTGTTTTAGAAATAGTAGTCAGACTTCCTGACATACCTGATTCTAGATGTAATGGAATTTAGATTGTAAGCTCTTTTGGGGCAAGGACTTTTTCTGTGTCATGTTCTGTAAAATGCTTGGTAGATTTAGACAACTTCTGCACCTTCCTTGGTCACACAGCCACAACTGGAATGTCAGGTCTTGCTTCAGCTTTGGTCTGGATGGAATCCAGATTGAGTTCTTACTGCCTTTATCTGTTAAATTGAAGTTTCCCCTGTGCAGGGGGCCCACATATAAAACCCTTTGTATTACTGATCCCTTATTTTGAGGTATAAGATGCAGTGAGCTATGGTGGGTCCTCTGTGCCATAACTTAAAGTGAGACTTAAATGGTGCAAAGGGGCTTCATTTGAATTAATATGCTTAGTGTGTTAGCAGCAGAAACAAAGGACCTACACTGACTGGATCTCCAAGAGATCAATGTGCATACATGTTGGTTACAGGAAAGTGGCTTATCTTTCTGTAGCAATTACTTGGAGCATGGTCATGAGTTAAAAGGTGATAAAAGAGGCTGTGACAATGCTTTCATATGGTCTTATATGCAAATGGAACCTGTGGAGGGGAGAGAAATGTACATGAATTCTGCAGAAGCTAGTCTGGCCTAAAACCAGGCTAAGTGCCATGTTGCAGCTGTGCACAAGCCAAATCTTGGAACTGAAACTGGAGTAAATAAGCCATCTAGTGTCTTGGAATTTCCTCTTTCTCCCTATTCACTCTATGTGTACATGTAAGGTATAGTTTGGGGTATTTTTTGGTAGGTTGCCTTTTTTTAATAGAGCCTGAAGTTGTGAATTGTCATGTCTTTGCTTAACCATTGAACTATGTTTTATTATTTGGTAAAACCGTTTTTAATGTTTTCTTTGAATAAAATATTACATTTTTTTTATATTCAAGACTCTCATTCTTCTGCTGTTACCTGTTCAAAATATCTTGTCCTGCTCAACAAATGAAAAAAAGTCTAGAATAATTATCTAGACTAGACTGAGCTTTTTCTTTTTATGGGATTGACCGTCATTAAACACATTTTAGTTGCCATTCAAAATTTGCTATATTTCTAAGCAAGCTTACCTGGAGGAAAAGAATCCAGTATTTCCCTGCTCCTTGTATTGAGAAGAGATTCCAAACAGTAGCTTCCTCCGTCTGAGTCATTACTTTTAAAAATAAATTCAAGGCAAATGACGCGGGCAGCATCTACAAAAAGCAAGGCAAAAAAAGAAGCTGTTTTGTTACAGAATGTGCAATCTATTTCTGTCTTGGTGTGGGAGGTTTTAAAGCAGGTACTTTGTCCCCAAGTCCTGAGATAAATATAGACTCCTAAAATATTAAGTTTAAATAAAACAAAAATGCTAGCGATATTCAATAGTCCTTCTCGTTGTCTCTTGAGGAAAACAATGCCTTTTTGTCTTTAGTGACATGGAGAAGTACTGATTGCTGGGCTAACACAAGCGGCTGGTTTTTGGTTTTTGGTTTTTTACGGTGCTGGCTTTCATAAAGTCTTAAGACACTAATTCAGTAAAGCACATAAGCATTGTGATTAAGTCTTGTTGAATTTAGTGAGCCTTGATGTACTAGGGTATTTTGCTGAATGGAGATGCACTTAAGCATGTGCCTTGCTGAATCTGTGTCTAAGTTTGTACTTTATTTTAAATCTCTAAGGGATTTTTACTTCTGTAGTGCTTTTTATTCCAGGATAGCGAAGTACTAATAGTAACTGGCTCACAGCAGCCGGAGGGCCAGTAACATTGGATGAGTTGCATCATATCTTTTAAAAAGACAATCCGATGCTATGGGCTTGATGAAATTCTCTGATTGGATGAGTTGCATCATATCTTTTAAAAAGACAATCAGATGCTATGGGCTTGATGCAGTGATAGCTTGGTGAAATTCTCTGGGCTGTGTTGTGCAGGCATCAGACTGAGCATAAATGATCTATTCTGCCTTTCAAGTGTATGAACAATATTATAGTCTTTGGAGAGAAACCAAAGCCTGTCTTTAATGGGCACAGTGTGGGAACATTTTTAAAAGGGAGGGGGGTTGCTGAGCCCTTTTCTGTCCAACCCCACCCCTAACTGAGGCTGGAAGCAAAGCCCTGACACACAGGGCTGGCAGCTGGGAGCCCCGTGTATGGAGTTCAAACTAGGAATTGGCACATGGGACAGCAGCAGAGGCCCCCAGCACTTGAGTCTGGCAGCTGGGACTCCGGTTGTGGGGCCAGCAGCTGGTACCTCGGGCTGTAGGCCAGAAGCCCAGGGGTGCTGTAGCACCTCCTCACACCTCTAGTTCCTGTGCCTATGGAGGAGGAATGAAAAATATTCTATGAAATGGACTGCAGAGGTATTTCAGATAGCCAGCTACTGTACCTACTTATACTTAGCGGCTGTGTCTAGACTGGCAAGTTTTTCCGCAAAATCAGATGATTTTTGCGGAAAAACTTGCCAGCTGTCTACACTGGCTGCTTGAATTTCTGGAAAAGCACTGACGATCTCATGTAAGATTATCAGTGCTTTTCTGGAAATATTATGCTGCTCCCGTTCGGGCAAAAGTCTTTTTCCGAAAGACTTTTGTGCGAAAGGGCCAGTGTAAACAGCACAGTACTGTTTTCTTCAAAAAAGTCCCGATCGCGAAAATGTTTTCTGCAAAAAAGCCCCGATCGCGAAAATGGCGATCGGGGCTTTTTTGCGGAAAACCACGTCTAGATTGGCCACGGACGCTTTTCCGCAAAAAAGTGCTTTTGCAGAAAAGCATCCTGCCAATCTAGATGTGCTTTTCCGTTAAAAGCATTTTCGGAAAATCATGCCAGTGTAGACGTAGCCAGCCAGATTGATGTTTAATGCCCTCTACTGTTTCAAATTGGAGCGCTGAATGATGTGTAAATAACACGTCAGGATTTTTGTTTTCCCCTTATCTGAAAAATGACCTCCAAGCAGCACAGTATCCACCATTGCCACACTACTGGGTTCAGTACGGACTGGAAAAGTTCCCTTTTGTCTCAGGATTTTTGTTTTCCCCTTATCTGACCTCCAAGCAGCACAGTATCCAGCATTGCCACACTACTGGGTTCAGTACAGACTGGAAAAGTTCCCTTTTGTTGCCTTCATTTTACTTGTTGGTCTCAGCCAGCCTGTTTAGTGATTCTTCCTGATTCGTAGCTTTTGAGAGCTCAGCACACCTAAGCACAATCCTTGAAATAGAGATTCTACTTGGTCTGAATGATCTGTTCCCTTTGGGTGCCAGGGACTTCCTGTCTTAGGGTGCAGCTACACTGCGCCCATAGCTCGAAATAAGCTACGCAATTTGAGCAGCTTATTTTGAGTTGATTTTAAAATAGCTTATTTCGAAACTTGGCGCTGTCTACACAGCACTTATTTTAAAATAAATTGCTATTCTGAAACTTCCTTTACTCTTTGTGGAATGAGATTTACTGGGACTTTGGAATAGTGAGCCCGTTATATTTCAAAATAACGGGCATGCTCAAAAGACACAGAATAGCTATTTTGGGATGCCTACGGTATCCCGAAATAGCGCTGCAGTGTAGACATATCTTTAGGGTTGGGTTTCCTATTGCCTACTAAGTTGATAACTTTCACCAGCTGTGATGCCAAAACAATCATTCCTGTACTTCAAACCCCAGTTCCTTTCCAGCTGTGAGATGATTTTGTAAAACTAAACTCCTTTGGTTTCAAATATTATCAATATTATTCTTGGAAGGGGGAAGAAGTAGCATAATAAGTGAGATAATTCTCAGCTGTTTTAAGTCTGTACCAAATAAACCATTTATCTTTGAGGTTGCTGCAAATAATACTCAATTGATGTTGCAGTTGATTTTCGTTTATAGCATATAATTTGCATGGGTACTGATTGTTCTGGAGACGGGCTAATTTAAGAGGCCTTGTAGATGGCAATGTTGGGTTTCTATATATAAAATGTTTGGTACATTTGCCAAACTGCTTTTTAATTTTTTCCATTGTGAATATTCAGTCTTGGAATTTCATCTGTTTTGGCTTTGAATACTAAGCCCAGCGCTGTTTAAAAATGCTGAAAACATGAACAAATCATATATAGGTTGATGTTTTGTCCTAGGAACTGTTTAGTGGTTCTAACAGTTCATTTGCAAAATTGTCACTAGTTCAACGTAAAATAGGATCTACTAGATCCAGCAGTGTGCTTGATTACACTATATTATAAGTCTGAATTCAATATGGGCTTCTCTGGAGTTACACTAGGGTATCCAAGCTGAGACTATGGCTGTGCATATCTGTTCTTGGCTCAATTGCTGAGCCATAAATTAAAGAACAAGTCAAACACCCTACAAACAGTTGATTTTAGAGACCTGGCTGGACTCTAAATCATTTTCCTTTTTTGATGCTAACTTGAAACATGTCAGGTTTTTAAGCTGGCTTGCCTTTAACCCAAGTTGGAAGCAGAAGTTTTGACCGAGTTTGTATATTTATAACTAATGAAAAGAGGCCGAGAGCTTTAAATAGACAGTTCAGTTCTCTCAAACATGCATGATCCAGTGTGGGAATCTTGTTTGCGGATACTATTGGTTACAATGTAGTTGCTGCAGATACGCAACCACCATCTCATATGCTAGAGACAGGGTTTGGTTGCAATGAATATAAAGAGGAGCCTTTATGGAATATGCTAGCAACACAGATTATAGATTTCTATAGCTTCAAGACTTATGCAGGGCTATAGGGTTGCCAGGTGTCTGGCATCCTACCGGACAGTCCGGTATTTGAGCCCTCTGCCCAGTAAAAAAAATCAGACAATACCAAACATATGCAGTGTCCGGTATTCTCTGATTTTTCTGTCTGTGCACCGGATGGGAGCCTGCCGTGGGCAGCCCCGCCCCCACCAGGCTTCTGTGCAATCTCAGGCTGCCAGGGAATCCCAGCTGGGAAGCGGGGTTGTGATTGCCGCTTATCCCATGTTCCTTTTTTTTTTCCTCCACCAAAAAATACTGGGTATCCAGTATTTTTTGGGAGACCATCTGGCAACCCTAAGTACAAATATGATTTTTTTAATTAAAAAAAGTTTCATCCACAGGTTTACTGCATCATCCTCTTGGTTACTGTGGGACAGACACTAAGCATAAAAAATCCCTTTCCCCCAATCAGTCCTTCAGTGCTGCTGGACATGCTCTGCCAGGGGCTGCTGCCATTGCTGAAGTAAGAGTGGTGCTGGCCCCCACTTGCTGCTCCTCCCTCTGTCAGCAGCTCTGCGTTAATGTAACATGTGCTATCCCGTGTCTCCACCCAAACTATCTCCTCTCACTTCTGGATTAAGGATTGGGTATTATGCTGCTATAACCAAGTC